ATTTTTATGATTTTCTGAAAAAATTTTATGAATTTTCCAATTTTCCAATTTTTTTTAGATTTTTTCTGAATTTTTCACATTTTTTATTTGTATTTTCTGAATTTTTATGAATTTTTATGTTTTCTTGAAATTTTTTTTATGGTTTCCAGAATTTTTGAATTTTTGAATTTTTTATGATTTTTTTTATTTTTTATTGATTTTTCAATTTTTTTTATTTTTTTTATTTATTTTTTAAAATTCCAGCTGAAAAACTAACCGAACCGGACCTAGCCGGCGCAGGTCGCCGGTCGTCTTCTCTGGCGGGCACAGTGAGAAAAACGGCGCCGTTTCAGTCTTCTTTCTCTTCGGCATTTTGTCGAACACTTGGTGTGCATGAATCCTAGTTCTAAGTTCTCGAGGCTGCCACTTCAAGCCCTTCTCCGGCGACCTTCCGACGACCATTTTGTTTGAATTTTGATCCTATGTCTTCTTTGTATTACCGTCTATCAGTCTTAGTCTATAGCTTCGCCATCGAACCTCTGCCGGTCGGCAAAAAACCGGTCTCAAAAACCTCTGCCGGTCGGCGAAAAACCGGTCTAAAAAACACCAGATCAGAACTAAACTACTCCATTTCTTCTAAGACTTAAACTCTTATTCTGATCGCCCTAGCCATCTACAACGATCCTAACATTTAAAGAAACATCAAACAAGGTAAATGAATGCTAACTTGACTGGCCTATGGCCATGGCGATGCTCCAGCGAGGGTTCTTCAAGTTTCGACATGGTTTAAAAATGGAGGCCGACTCATTCGATGCATATTCAATCCATGTTTTGCAATCAAACAAAGAGAAACATGATCAGAAACTCGTTTTTGACATCAAGGCACTCAAGATCAACAAAGAAATCACCGATTTAACAATATCAAGTTCATTTTCGTTTTCTGGAATTTCTGGAAAAATGTGATGAAGATCATACTTTACCTGTTTTGTTTGATGATCGGATGAGGTTTTCAAGCTAATCGGAGCCCGCGGAATTGTTCCTCGTCACTTGAACTTCAGACCAGTAAGCTTGACTTTGCCGAAGAATGCCTAATCACACCGACTGAGCTTGAGTTTCAGGCCTTCGTGATAAGCTGGTTTGGCCAGAACGATGAGGGGAGGTTCACGGCCTATCCACGATTCGCCGGCGTTCCGCCATCTACGGCGACGCCGGACACTCGTGAAGGGACCCTCGACCCTCTCTCTCTAGATTTTGCTATTTGGTTTCGCTCGTTTCTCTCTCTTTTCTCTCTCTGGCATTTTGTCGAACACTTTCTCTTCAAAAGTTCAGTTTTTTCTTCGTTTTTTATTCCTCAATTTCCCGCCCAAAGTTTGTTATTAACCAACCTTGAATCGGTTGGGATGATTCTTTGGTGCTAGCCGGATATTTTCGAGCTGGCCAACTCGATTTTCACGTGCAAAATTGATCACACGAAGTCGGCAAAGTCTCGGGCACAAACTGGAATTTTTCTGGGTTTTATTGAGTTCTGGGCAAACCGGGTGAAGAAGACAGGTTCCTAGGTCGGGTCGGGTTGACCTGGTCGACCCAGCAGGCCCGATTTTGATCAAAAATTCAAATTAAACTCAATTTTGATCAAATTTTCGGAATTAAATCCCAAAATTGGATTCCTCATAACATTCTGAATCCAAATATGTGATTTTCCCCAATTTTTGTTAAAATCATGTCCTAGATTTTTAACTTTTTGTAATCAATTTATTGGGGTTTTGTTCAATTCGATGTCCTAATGACCTGATTAGGCAAAATTGGTACCAAAATTGAATTACCCACTTCTGATTAACCCTAGAAACGATGGTCTCATGGTTCGACAATTTCATATTGGGCACGATTCCCAATTTGGACTCAAAATTTCTAATTTTCAATTGAATTTTGGGGTTTTCTGATTTCTTTAACAAATTGTGCAATTGGACTGACCATTATGTAATTCAAGGTCCCAGAATCATTTGTTGTGAAGACACTATGACTTAAAAATGACTAGAAAAGATTTAATTGCATTTTTTGTCCAATTCGGGTTTGATTTTGCCCAATTTTGGGAGAAACACATACCCGATTGAAATTTTTCAAAATTGATGATGTATTAATGAAATTGGATTTAAAAGAAAACTAATGACTATTTTTATGGAATTTTCTGATTCCATTTGCTATTTTCTTGATTTTCTCACTTATTTTGATTAAAAGAAATTAAAGGAAAATGCAGGAAAATGCTAAAAAATTTATTTTTGATTTAGAAGTAGGTTTCTAGGCTTGGCCAAGATTCCTAGTCTTAATTTTGAGATTTTTGAAAATATAAAAAAAAAGCTAAAAATCATGTGTGAACAGTCATGAAGATAAATTGATTGAACGACTCTTCTAGAATGTAGAGGATCAGAAAGCCCATCAACAAAATATAACGCCCTGATTCTACAACTTGAAAATTGCCTTAGGTTATGCAAATTACGTCAACTTTCATAAAAGTCCTCAAGGATACCCTGATTTTCTCAACCAGGGATTGATGGCGATGGTTAGGAGAAACTCTTTTGTCAGTTGGTCTTCTTATAATAACCATGTTATTGTCATGGTTGACCAAATTTGATGTTGACACTAGTAGGGATTCGAATAAAGGCAAATAGAATCAATAGTGTGTTTAATTACATATTGTAACCTTCATAACATATTTTCGGATAAAGCATAGAGTTATCAACCCCAAGAGATTAATTGCGTTGGTACTTATGCTAGTGATTGACTATGCAAATATCGAAACGCAATTGATTTATGGAGAAGGGATTCCTCAAACCAAAAAGGTGGACCTACATGTAGCAATACCATCTGATAGCAATACGAGGGGACGAGAGAGCTGCATTTACATGTAGTTTTCCACAAGCAGTGTTTTGTGTCCTCCAACCAAATGGGTCAAAATGTTACAAACGACATCGCTCATATGAGAATCTATTTTCCAAAGTATGGTGCGTGCGGCGGCGTGTTGATAATTTGTGTGTAGGGTTATCTGGAAAAAGATCGGCTCATGACATTTGAACGATGACAGAGACTAGGCTCGTCGAGAGGCGTGTGAACTGAAATCATGCGACGTCAGGACGTATGCAATCACTGGTCAAAGATAGACGGTTGATTGGGGACACCATCTCTACTTTGCCAATTCTGGCTTAGCTTTCACTTGTAGATGCTTAGTTCGTTTACGACCGAATATTTGGTAATTAAGATTAAGATACATTTGATTTTTCGCTTGACGTTGGGAAAACTCATCTTCGATAAGTAAAGCTCGGGAATATGGTCTTTCAAGGAATGGTTCCCAAGTTGTAACGCGTTGCAATGATGTAAGTTTTGTGGAAATTTCAAATGCAAAAGAATTTTAAGATACAAATACTTGGTGCTTTCCAATGACCCAATGAAATTTTATTTTTCTTTTGGTTTCAACTTCTAGATTATTGAATTGAGATATACGTCAAGATCTTGGGTTGTTCCCATTTCAACGTAATTTGTTTTTGAGAAAATTTTGTTTTGGTGGACTCGAAGTGAGGTTATCAGTGACGAAGCTAGAAATCTCAAAGCTTTGGGAGAACACGCAAAATTGTGGCCTCGACTAAACAATTCGGTTAATCTTTGTTATTATTGAATGCGAGTTTATTGACAAATTCAAAAACAATGAACCTTTTAAATTTGTAAAAATTAATCAACATGTAATTAAAAGGAGATAGTTTAATAAACCCGTTACGTTGGTGAGGTCATTTATTTCATAAACGCCACCACAATAGTTCAAAACAACATCAATTTACAGAAAATACAGAATTTTATGATATACAATAGGTCATTTTTATCTAAAAAGAAATTTCATGCATTAATTATATGTGATTTAAAGTTTAGTTGCCTACAAAGAAACATATCTTTTTCAATTGTCGGAGGTTATGCTTGCTGGGTGTGAAGGCGAAGAACGTAATATTTTATTTACATCTAACTTGAGCATCAATCAACAAGTAATTTGATTTTTAAAGATTATGATCGTAATGTTAAAATTCCGGTGTGTAAATCTTCTTTATTTGTTCAAATGTAGTCCTCTAACTTGAGTGTTTTGTAATTGAGTCGTCAAAACATTTTTTGTGCAAGTTAATCCTCTAACTTACTTGATTTTTTCCATGCAAGTCCTTTCTCCAGTCTTCACACTTAATATATCTTAATATGTTTGTTTAATATGGCTGTTTTCAATATTGCTAAACGAAAAAGAGAAAAGTACTTTCAAATTTTAAAAAAGTACTTGAGTTGTTCCTATTTTAATAGTTTGTTTTGGAAAATTTTGTTTTGGTAGACTCGATGCGACATTATCAGTGACGAAGCTAGAAATCTCAAGGTTGGAGTGGAGAGCAAGGATTTTCATCTCGGCTTAACAATCTATTTAATTTTGTTATTAATGAGCGATATTAAATATATTTTAATCATGGGCTAGTGACAATTGAAAGGGTCAACTAGCAAATTATATACTTATTATTCTTGTAGAAAAGAGACGATCTATTTATTATTCTTGTGTCATGTAGTGTTGTAGAAACAGTTCGTGTAAAAATTTGCCAGTCCTAATTCTAAAAAAATCAAAGAAAATGCATCAATTCAAATACTAGAGTCGAGTGAAATATCAACATCATGGGGTTTTTCCTATTTCAATGGAACTATTTGAAAAAATTTGGTTTGGTGAACTAGAAGTGAGGTCATTGGCGACGGAGCCAGAAATCTCAAGATTGTCTGATGCACGTATGAACAAATAGGTGTCCATGGTCTTATGCACTCCCAAAGTCAATTGAACTTCTGAAATTTTCGTATAGAAGATAATTTCACTTTTTTAGACGACAAATTGATACTATAGTTCTCGTCAAAGAAAAGATGGAAAGTCTTAAAAAAAATAGGAAATGCCAGTTAGTAGCTGTCCTGTCCATGGATATCGTTCAGAGTTTTTGTATTATTGTCAAACCTTTCTGTATTTTTGTGTCAATTGACATAGAATGTACAGTACAGCCTACATCACTTATGAAGCAACATCTCCGGTATAACATGTAAGACCTAAGTAAGAACGGGAAGGATAAGATAATTCAGCTGTATATAGGGCTCCAAGGATGATGGCGAGAGTGATCAAGATGACTATAACCCATCTCACCACCGTCTAAAAAGAGACATCCAAACGTCTCGTCTGCACTGATCCTGCACTGTTCTTTCACCATCAAACCGCCATTCTTGACCGCCTTCTTCTTCCCCTCCACCATCGCTAGAACACTTTGGAACACCGAAACTTCACATGGGATTCGCAGGACACCTGTCTGCTGAAACCCGAACGCCTCCTCGGCCTCTCGCAGCAAGAACCCGAACGCCGGTTGGCCCAAGTAGTATATTGGGATGACAAACCTCTCGAGCTCTTCCCCGATGCAGACTGCGAGGTGGCCTTTCGGGACAACGTTGCCTTTGCCGCTGCTGTGCTTCTTGTTGTTGGTGCTGTCGTCGCCGTCTGATGATAGAGAAGAGATCGTTCTTTTGAGGAAGCTTATGCTCTTGTGAATGCCGCCGCGATTTGGGCTCATGGTAGGGGCGGTTGTGACAGTTCTTGACGAATTTGCGAAGTTCCTCCACTTCTTGAGGAGCTGCCGGAGTCGAACCACTTCGCTGATCTTGTTAGACTTTTTAGGGGACTCCATGGCTTCCTCAAGAAGAACAAGAAGAAGAAGAAGAAGAGGAGGAGAGATTAGAATATGCCCTTACCTTAGAAACTGGGCCCTTGCTATTTATAGGAGTTGCGAATCTTGAAATTGAGAATCACAGATCGTAAAAAGTAAGCATTCACACGATAGCTTCGTGTCTAGGGTCGCCATCCGACACAATTTATACTGGGCCCTTTTCTAAATACAACGAAGAAGACTGAAATTCAGCTCATTTCCACTCCCAAGACCGAGCTCCAAAAGTGGTGGGACAAGTTGGACCAGAATGGCCAAGATTATGTGACATCAAAGATAGGCAGGCTCGTTCCTCTTCTACATATCGAGACTCATAGTGGTATGATTATGGTGATGACTCATTTTTGGTGTTCCGTAACATCTACATTCGTATTTGGTGAGCACGAGTTGACCACGACTCTAGAAGAGTAGAGCATTTGTAACATCCTAAATTTTGACCCGTTACCGGGACCAATGAAGTGTATGTTAATGCTCGTTTGATTTTAGTAAGTCGCGCTCTAAACCCAATTTAGGACTTCGGGTATCAACGGGTGATTTTGGGCAAAATCTGTATAAAGTTAGGTGCGGAATGGTATGAATTGGTAGTGGAAATTTTATGGCGGGCCTTGAGATTTAATTCGGGCATTAATTATTGGAAATTAGAAAATAACAGTGGCTGTGATCTTTTGTTCATGGGGTCGTGATGGGCCGATCGGGACACAAGTTGGGTTTTTAGAACCGGTATTTTATGGCGAGAAAGTTTCGTGAAGGATCGGAATTAATCCGACGTTGTTTGGTGGGAGAAAAATGAGAATTTACGGTTTTACCCCTCAAAATTTCCGGACTGATTTTCAAGGGCTTAAAGAATGATTTTTTTTAAGGATCCGACACCATATTATGCTGGTCATGCAGATATAGGACCAGTATGGACAAAAATTGGAATTTAGGTTCGGGATCGAAAAATTACGAAAATGCCCCTAGGGCCATTTTGGCTAATTCCGAAAATTGGACAAATTTGGGGGATTAACCAAGGTTAATTAGGCTAAACCAGGTCTGGTCAGCCTTTGGTTAGGGGCAAATGACCATTCTACCCTTGAATTATTGGATGAGTATGAATCATGACCATTGGATCAAGGGCAAAAGTGTCTAAAGGCCTAGGATCTTGACATGTGGAATCCACTAGCTCAAATTTGACCCATTTTGACCAGCCCTTTCTCTCTCTCTTCAGTCACTCACGCCAGCTTTCTCTCTCTCTCCCGTCCCCCCCTTGAATGCCGTTCTTCCTCCTCCGTTCCTCTTCCGTTTCTGCTCAGCCGGCTACTGTTCACGCCGGAGCAAGCCACACCGCCGGAGCTGCTGGCCGTCTGACCACCACCATCGCCCCAGCTGACCAGCACCGCCTCACCCTTCCTTTCTCTTCCCTTTTCTGTTCAGCCGAGTAACATCGCCACCGCCGTCGCCGCCGTGACCGCCGGCTTGCCCCCGGAACGCCGCCGTCGATTTTTACCGCGTGTCGGTGATCGACCGCCCGTTCTCGTCGTCCCGAATCGGAATTAGGCGAGTATAAACCCCTAAACCCTTAATTAGTTTAATTGTGCATTTTAGAGGGTAATTAGGGGGTTAACTAAGCCTAATCATGGTCTATTTAGGTCTAATGTTGTGTGGGGTGATTAAGGGACCTAATTAATGCCTAATGAGATGATTTAATGGTGGATTAAGGCCCAAAACAGCCCTTGTTCTGGTACTGTTCACAAAGTACCGAAAATGTGCATATTTGTCTAAGTTTTGCACAAATTGAATTCAATGATTCAAGGCTTGGAATTAAATAATTAAGGTGCTAATTAGGCTCATTTGAGGCTTAATTAGGTGTATTTGGTGGTTGGATGTTTAGGGTAAGTGATTAGGCCCTAATGAGATGGTTTAAAGGTGGTTTAGTACCTAAATGTGAATTTTTCCTGGTACTGTTCATGGGGCTCCGAAATTGTGTAAAATTGTCTAAGTGTGGCACTAATTAAGTTCAAGTACTAATGACTAGGAAGTGGACATTTTGGGGATTATTTAGGCTTATTTGAAGCTTAAGTAAGTGTATTTGGTTGTTGGGTGATTGGGGTTTGAGATTAGAGCTTAATGAGGGTGTTTAATTATGGTTTAGTGGACAAAATGTGTCCTCCCCTGGTACTGTTCATTCAGTACCGAATTTGTGAAATTTATCCAAGTTGAACATTGAATGGTTTATTGATTGAGGGCTGGAAATTTAGTCATGTTATGGATTGATTGGGACTTGTCTAAAGCCTATTAAGTGGCCCCGTGTTGATAAGAACAACTATTGAGATGGATTTGCCCAAGGCGGGCCCTTAGCGCATTGAATTACCTTGGAATGAATGCGCGAATGAATGTGGGATTTGTTGAACCAAAGTGGAATTATATTGAATGTGCCAAGGATGCATTGAGTTCGTTGACTTGATGAAGCCGAGAGTGCGTTAGATTCATGGGCTCGGTAAATAATAGAATTTGGCATGTTGGTTTGAGTGTTGGCATGAATTCCCGAGTGTATCAATTGTTGGCCTTCGGGTCGGGCCTACGGGTCGTTATATTCAATTGTGGCCTTCGGGTCGGGCCTAGGGTCGTTCTATCAATTGTTGGCCTTCGGGTCGGGCCTACGGGTCGTTATATTCAACTGTTGGCCTTCGGGTCGGGCCTACGGGTCGTTATATTCAACTGTTGGCCTTCGGGTCGGGCCTATGGGTCGTTATATTCAACTGTTGGCCTTCGGGTCGGGTCTACGGGTCGTTCTATCAATTGTTGGCCTTCGAGTCGGGCCTACGGGTCGTTCTATCAATTGTTGGCCTTCGGGTCGGGCCTACGGGTCGTTATATTCAACTGTTGGCCTTCGGGTCGGGCCTACGGGTCGTTCTATCAATTGTTGGCCTTCGGGTCGGGCCTACGGGTCATTATATTCAATTGTTGGCCTTCGGGTCGGGCCTACGGGTCGTTATATTCAACTGTTGGCCTTCGGGTCGGGCCTACGGGTCGGAATAATTGCACGCAAGTATTATTGTTGTTGAACGCCTAACCTGCAGGGCTTCGAGATAATGTATTGGGCTGTGAACCCAAGATAATTATAGTGTTTTACTGGTTGATTAATTGGCATGTTTGAATTACCTGTCTGGAGGTGCACTTTAGCCTAGTTTAGGATTAGGGGTTTTGTACTTGCTGAGTTTTATCTCACGGTTGTTGGAAAACCGATATTTCAGACCCCCGGCAGTAAAGATGGCGGAGCCGCTCGTGCGTTTTGGTATTTCCCACTTCATCGAGAAGACCATGTCGGTTCATCCAGTAGGAGAGGGGAATATGTACATTAGGTATTATACTTTAGTATGGGCTATATCTTTTTGACTGAAGCCCATCTTAGTTCAGCTTAGTACCCTGGCCACTGATCCTTTTTGTTGTCTGTGGCCGCGACTCGTTTTGTTGTGGCTCTTTGTAAGTGGATACTGTATAAGCTTCTAAATGTTTATAAAAGAGTAAAGTTGTTTTTATTTGGTGTTCGTTTATGTGCGGCTATCTTTGGTCCCTGTAAATTCTGTCTGGGTGATATATATTTACTTATATATCGTGCTTCCGCATGTGACGTGATCTCTGTGTTGGGTTTTGGGTCGGTGACGTAACCTGGGAGCGTCGCACTACTATTTCGACCTATAAGCGGGATGCTCATGCTTCGTGGGGTACGGGGCGTGACAGCATTCTCATTGGAATTGCTTTAGGACCCGAACCCACATTTGTTCTAGCAGAACTTTTGAAAATTAAAACTGATGAAGTGAAGAAGCTTTTGAATAGTAACAATAATGCTTGTTCATTTACCTTTTTGGCAGAACATTTTTCAAAACAATCATCATCGCAGTAATTGGGTAAAAGTTTTATTTTGGCTTTTTTCGAGTTCGTGATATTTCCTTATTATAGGAATGCCATTAATCCCTCAATTGCATGGGTAGTCAACCAAGTATGTGCCGGTATGATTTCATCAATATGATTTTGGCTGAAACTTTCTTGTCTCTTACTCGCTTTAAAGAAAATGGGAGAGGAGCTTTTCATGCACCCTTGAACTTTTACAAGTCTGGTTCCTCTCCCACACAAAAAAATTTGGTATCCACATGGTTATATTTGAGGTCAACAATTCTTGCCACCCAATCCAACAGTTCATAGAAAAGAAGGGTTTAGTCCCTAAAGATTCTTTTTCTGAATTAATAGATATTTTGAAAAATCCGAACCCTAAGGATTTTCGATGGTATGCTAGCTAGTTCAAAGTTCGTGTGGCACATCTCACTTACAAGGTGAATGATCCGATCCCATTGTTGGGATTCATTGGTGTTACATACTACTATCCGATGCATGTTATCCGTCAATACCGGTCCTTGCAAGAAATTTTATCCCCTTTGAAACCTGATTATGCTGAGTGGACTTCACTCAGAATGATCGAGATTACCGAACTGCAGTGGAAGATATTGCGAATGACTGGGTTGACTGTCACGCACAAGAGATTGTTTGGCCAAATGTCATCAAGAGGAAAGAGAAAGTTTATCATGCTTCATCGCACTACATTCGTCATCATCAAATCAATCCCGCTTTATTGCCAGTTATACCTAAGGTGTCACTGAAGCCCACTTGCAAAGCACGAATTGAACAGCTCGAGAATAGAATGGAAAAAGCTGAAGCTCGCGGAGCCATTTTAAAAAAATGGCTCCGTGACACAGTCTCTAAATTGTATTTAGATCATGCTATTTAAAATTTGTCAAATTTTCTAGAATGATCAGCTTTAAATTCTTGTCAGTTTGATGTCTTAGGGAGTTTGATTCTCATGTACAAGCAAATTCTTCGCAAATAATAAAGTACGTATTGTCATGGACCAACTTCATTTGTTGCGATGCTTTTTGTTGTTTTCTTTTCTTTTCAATACAGGTGAGGTGTAACTTTGATACATCACGGCTCACCCAAGATCACTGATTCGTACTTGTTCTAGAGCTGTAATGGCCGACAACAATGAGCAAACTCACATCGCCACCCTTGAGACAGAAATGAAGCAAGTCCTGAATATCCTAGAACAACTCTCCAAGCAAATTGATTCCATCAAGATGAACGCTACTCCACCAGCTCAGCCTGTTGAAGTGGTTTTACCACAACCCCCACCTGTTGTCGACCTAAAAGACAAAGGAAAAAACGTCTCTACAGGTGGCTCATCAACTTCTGATGATACACCCCCAGTCAAGGATGCTGACACATCTCAGACCCTTGCTAATGACTAGGTGCAAATAATACCT